GTTTTTCATCTTATTAAAAGCTTTTGCACACCAAAAGAAATCACCAAGAGAGTAAAGAGACAAGCCACAGAATGAAAAAAATTTCTGCCAGTTGTTCTTCAAAGGACTAATATCTACAACATATAAGGAACTGAGAAAAACCAGCTCCCCACCCTAATTTAAAGACCGAATCCAAAAGTGGGTGTCTGCAGTGAATACACATTTCTCAATGAAGAAATAACACATGAAAAAATGTTCAACATCACTGGTCATTCAAGAGATGCAAATTACAACAATGCTGAGATTCCATCTCACTTCAGAAAAAGTGGCTATTATCAAGAAAGCAACCAATAACAAATACTGGAAGGGCTGTGGGGAAAAAGGAACCCTTCTCTACTGCTGGTGGGAGTGTAAACTGATGCAATCACTCTGGGAATCAGTGTGGAGATTTCTCAAAAAACTAGTACTAGATGTCTCATTTGACACAGTTATTCCCCATTTGGGTGACTTCCCCCAAAAAACTAAAAGCATCAAACCACAGTGCTATATATACCCATGTTTGTAGAAGCACAGTTTGTGATAGCCAAATCCTGGAAACAGCACAAATGCCCACTGTCCGGTGAATGGATAAAGAAGATTTTTTTATACAGTAGAGTACTACTCTGCCATAAAAATGACAAACTTGAAACATTTCTAGCTAAATGGATGGACCTTGAGACTATACTCTTAAGTGAAATAAATTGGACACATACAGTATGTAAATATTGCATTGTCTGTCTAATTTGAGAAAATGAAAGTATAAATAAGGGCCAAAATGTATAATAGATTTCGTGAAATAGAAAGAAATGCTTCAAATGGGAAAGGGAACTAGCGAGGGAGGAGAAGGAAGGGGAAAGAAAAAAACAGGAAGCATTTTTCTTTTTTGTCATAGTATTTATTCGTATTTTAATCAGCAAAATAATTGTACACATTCATAGGTGACAGGGTGACATTTGAATATACATGTACAGTGTATAATAATTAAGTTAAGGTAATTAACATATTTTTTAGCTCAAACACTCATTGTATTTTTCTTTTTTCTGTGTTTTCTATCTCTTTGTTTTGCTAGTTAGACCTTTAAACAATGCCTTGGAAAATAAATTTTTGTAAGTTTACTGGTGCTGGTCTTTATTTCTTTACACATTGAAAAATCCTTTTTAACCTTGACTATCCTACCCTTTCTTCCCTTTACTGTTCAATATTGTTACTCACTTAGTACGTATAAGACACAAATCCATGGTAAAAAAAAGTACAAGTCTCTTCCCTCGTAAAGCCTAAAGTTTAGCAAAGACAACAATAACAAATAACAACAAAAAACCCCAAGTAAAATAGCATAAGTATAGATTTTATATGAAGTTATTTTTCTATGCACTTAACCAAGCAATCAATTTCAAGAGTAATCCTTTACTTTGGCAGTCACTTTGAAATTACATTTATCATCATTCAGCATTAGCATGATGGTCCCATTCTTTATTTACCTGTCCTTGGATACTGTCTCTCCATGTAGGCTGGGTGAAGGCCTCTTTTCCTAGGCCCTCCATGAGCCAGCTGAATGAAGGACCTCAGTACCTGCAAAATCAACATATTTATAATTTGTCCCCAACTGGGCAACTTAATACATGGCATAAGGCTGTGGATCAGAGAACATGAAACTTCCTAGGGAGAGTTATTGAATGCACACTCCTAAGCGGACGTTTTGTTTGTTTGTTGAGACAGGGTCCTGCTTTGCCGTTCAGGCTGGCCTTGAATTTGTGGCAATCCCACTTTAGCCTCCCATGTGCTGGGATTACAGGCGCGTGCCTCCATACCTGGCACCTGTTCATTTTTTTTTTTTACAGAGGCATGTTTCTTTTTTTTTTTTTTTTTAATTTTATTTAAGGAGAAAAGAAAAAAAAAAGCAGGGAAAGGGTACAAGTTATACAGATTTACAGAAAAAAAATGAACAGTAGGAAATCACTAGTTAATGGATTACATATTGTCATCTTAGAAATAATTGTTCAAGTCACAAAATTAGAGCTTGTAAAGTGGACATTCCATCAATGATACTGCAAACAGTTCTGTTCATTGATCCAATAAAACTCTGTGATATCATTTTCTATCTTATACACTTAAATATACATGCAGTTATATAGTTTGGAGCACTTTCTTTTCTTCTCTTTTGTACCATGACTATTACACATTTTGGGTTTCATTGCTCCCACGGTTCTTATTACTTTTTTGGAAGAGAGTAAAACCAAATGTGACATAACAGAACAGAATCGGTCAAGTCAAAAGGGTGGACATAATAGATAATGTAAAAACATAATACAAGGTGATCAACAATGGTTACCATAATGCCTCCCGCTATCTCTAATAGAATTGCCTATATCATTAGTTATAATACAATTGAACAAAACAGTAAAGAACAAAACCGACAAAACCAAAACATTGGAGACATTGTAGGTCTTCAAAAGTAGACAAAAGTCAACAAGAATGGGCGTCATAATGAATCTCATTATCTTCACAGCTGATGCCTAAACTTTCGAACCTGATACTATCCAGCAAAACAGAATAGGGGAACATCAGTTAAAAACCAGATGGTGAGAGTAATACAGGGCTTTAAATCAAGGTAATGAAAAGTCAAAGTGGGTTACTATAATATATCCTGCTATTTTTTCCCTTTAATTAAAAGGATAAAGATAAAAAAGTAAATAATGGAGTGGAGATTGAGATAAAAGAGGGCATAACAACGAAACAGCGCAGATCAAAACATAACCATTTAAGCAGAATAGTGTTTCACCACCAGATAATCCTAACCTAAAAGTAGTTACCATATTGTTTCTTTCTTTGAAATCCTTGAGTACAACTTCGTATACTGTAGCATTAAGTATATCAAAACAATGTAAAACCATTCAAGAGAATGACAGCATTACAGAGTATTTAGAATCGACTAACAAAATGAACAATGGTTTCTGTATAATCTCCTTGTCTTTAAAAGGTTTTTGCTTATACTATCGTACATAATAAAATCCAATAAGATACAGCCTATTTAGACCATTGGAGACAGAAGGACAAAAGCTAGATGAGACTTCAAAACAAGATGATACTAAATCTGTATTACCTATTAAGATGTCATTTTCTCCAAAATAGCTGTTCCTATCATCCAATCTTCTCTGCCTCATTTCTGTTAAGCTCTTTTTCTGTCCGTAGCTGTCAGTTTGTCTTCTTCATTTTGTTCTCTGCTCCATTCGTTGTGGCCTCTCTGCCATTATTTCTGGATTCTTTGTATTTTTCTTTTTTTAGAATATCCTGCAATACTCTCTGTAGAGTTGAATTGGTGGTTGCAAATTCCCCCAGTTCCTCTTTATCCTGGAAGCACCTTGTTTTTCCATCAATTTCCAGGGATAGTTGTGCAGGATATCTCAATCTTGGCTGGAGATTATTATCTTTCAAAGCTTGAATTATTTCCCCCCACGCTCTTCGTGATTTGATGGTTTGTGCAGAGAAATCTGCTGTAATTCTGATGGGTGTTCCCTTGTAGGTGGTCTGTTTCTTGTCTCTTACAGCTTTTAATATTCTGTTCTTGTATTGAATTTCTGGAATTTTTATTATTATATGCCTGGGTGTTGCTCTGTTTGGGTTGTAGGTAGCTGGGGTCCTGTATGCCTCATACATCCGAGTATCTTTACCTTTTGCTAAATTAGGAAAATTCTCCTGGATTATTTCTGTGAGTAGCTTTTGTAGTTCACTTGTTTGTGTCCCTACTTCTTCTTTTATGTTCTTAATCCTTAAGTTATGGATCCTCTTATCATCTTCTTGTCTTTGTATTATTGCTGTTTGTTTCTTTGTTATTTTTAAGAAGTTTTTCATTTCATTCTCCCATATTACAAGTCTGCCCTCCAGTTCAGATAGTCTGTCCTTAGTTTCTTTCAGGCTGTTATGCCAGTCTTCTATAGACTTCTTAGTATCTTGGTAGTCCCTTTGAACCTGCTTCACGTATTCTATGCTTTCTCTGTTTTCTCCATCAAACAATTCTCCCCTTTTTTTCTGTTCTTCCATTCTACCACCTGTTTTTTCTTGGGTGGTACTTAGCATTTCTCTAACTATTCTGCATACTTCTAGCTTCAGGTCGTTGATAACTTCATTCCTGAATTGGTCTATGAGGCTCTCTATATGGTGCCTTATGTGTATTGGTGTGGTGTCTGCTATTGCCTGTTTCTCAGAATTGGGGGCCGAGGAGCCTTTCTTGTTGCTGCCTCTTCCCATGCTGCCTCTTCTTCTCTGTTCCTTATATATGCAAGCTTATATAAGAGGCCCAGCTTCTCTCCCAGTCAGCCACAGCCTGATCGAATTGCGCCAGTTAGGTGTTCCGCTCACCGCTGCGCACCAGGGAGTTACGGACCAGGCAGCCTACGCGTCTCCCCTCCCGGCCACCGTCAGGCTCTGGGATCTGGGTTGGGACAGCCTACCAGGTCCGCCGGCAGCGTCACGCAGGCCAGGCACTTTTCACCAATCCCGCCCGACAGGGGAATGTGTGGCTGGAGTCCCACCGCGCCCTGCTCCCGCAGGACTGCCCGGGCCCAGAAAGTCCTCTGCTGGAGTCAAACTGTGGTAGAGTGTCAGTTTCTCTCACTCACCTCACCACAAGTCAGTGCATACCTCCCTGCCGTTCGCAGATTGCCGTTCTCAGAGCTTCCGCGCGTCTCTCTCCTTGCTGAGCCACTGTAGAGGCAGCCAGCCGCCGCGCGGCGGGAAACCCAAATCGCGGCTTACAATGGCGCGGTTCCAGCCTCCACACCAAGTCTTTTCTGTTCCTGTTTTAGCACCAGGACTGCATTCCAAGTTGGCTTCTCTCAGCCCAGTTCATTCCTGAGTCAGCAGAGCATATCTCCACCGACTTATGTCTCCTTAGTCCGCACCATTCCTGGCTTCTGAGCCGAGTCTTTCAGAGAGCCTCCGGTAGTTGCTGTTATCTGTCCGCCATGTTCTCCCGGAAGTCTCAGGACTTTTGCGAGAGTTCCATTTCTAAAATTAAAAAGTGCGAAGACTTGTCTTAGCTTAAAACATTCACTGCTTCTGAGTTGGTACATCACAATATGGCACATTTTCTACAAGAAGGTCTTTCCTAGGGACCAATTGCAGTGTGTTGTGGTCGGTGTGAATGCCCTGTATGACAGATGTTCTGAGTAACAGTTCAACGTCGGAACCTATTTTCATGAGCTCTTCTATTTTCTTAGGAGAAGCCTCGCTTTTATGACTTTTGAATTCTTCATTAATCTTTATTCTGGCTGCTTCTAAAGCTCTGGCATCATTCTTAAAAACTTGCTGTCTGGTCCTGTGCAGTGTTTTAAAGAGCTGTAAAACCTTGGCCGCCTGACCCATGGCTCTCTGCGTGGCGACGGCCACCTCTCTACCGGTCCAGAGGCATGTTTCTAAGCCTTTAAGGGCTTGATAACCTTTTGAATGGTTTATAGGAAAATTAACTTCTTAAATTTCACAAAGAGATCTTATGGCTAGCGCCATGCAAATTTGAGGCATGCTTAGCAGTGGTATGAGAAGGCTGACTCAAGAAACCAGAGAGGAACTGAAATGGATATTGTCTAATCCTGCAGAATCTGCATCGAGACGGCACCTGTTTCCTCTTGCACCAGACATCTGGGACCTGACCAAATTGTGGGTTAGCGAGGCTGATGGGAGGGAGGTGGGGATGTGATTGATGAGGAAAAGAGATCTGTGGGTCAAGAGGAGTAAGAAGTTTCAATTAGATGGGGGAAATAAGTTTTGATGATTTACTGCATAGCATGATGATTATAGGTAATAGTAATGTACTGTATAATCCAAAATAGCTAAGAGTGAATTTTAAATATTCTCATCATAAGGAACCCATAAGCATATGAGGTACTGGATATGTCAATTAGCCTAATTTAATCTTCCCACCATGTATACATGTATTGTATTGTACCCCACAAAGAAATATGTATATATATAATTATTTGCCAACTAAAAATAAAATAAAATGTAAAAACAGAACCTGTAGGGTTAAAAAACAAAAAAGAACTGCAGGGTAGGGCGGGACTAGCCACTTGCATGATGACTGCTTTATGAGTGGCTATCAAATCGTGACAAACATAAGCAGCAAGGCAACTCATGAAGTGTTAGCCTCAGAGACTGGGGAAGAAAAATTAATCCAAGAGTGAAAACAGCATGTCAAGAGAGATGCGTCACCAGCCCAAGTTCCATGCCGTCCTCGGACAGCCTTGCCGATGTGTCAAAGTCAGTTTCCACTTTTGTGCAAGGGATAGTGGGGTATTTTCTGACTCTGGAAACATTCCACCTCCCTGTCTATGCAGTTCAACCTTCTGAACGTAGTAGAAGAGAAGAAGCCAGTGTGGGTAAGAAGGAAAACTACCCAATGGCTAAGCTTATTGTCTTGACTATTGAAAGACCTACAGAAGTTATTACCTATCACCAAACTCTAAAATTCTCCAACAGGAGTTAGCCGGGAGGAAGTGAAGCGGTGGAAGACTCGTTGGTCTCATAGTCTTGGGAAAGGAGCTGAAAACACTTAAATAAGAGATAGGTTTTCTGAATGGGACCACAGTGATTCACTAAGAGGAGACAACAGTGGAATAAGGGTATGTGACATAAACTAAGGATATTTTTGCTAACTTTCTTGCCTTTTTTCCATTTCTCTTCTTCAGTAATAAACTGTATTCACAAAGGATTTTCTGTTAAAAATTATCATTTTTTTATGTTTATCTTTTTTATTTTTTTTTAATTTTATTTTGAAGGTAGTAAAAATACAACAGAACAAAGCCAACTGCGACAACGCACTGAAAATGGTACAGAACCTCACAGCAGGAAAACAGTAACAGGTACCATATCTCGTTACCCTCACAATAGTTGTTCATTCAATCAGGTGTAGTGAAATCAGACCAAAAACAGAACATTATAAAACTAATCAAAAGAGAATATTGAATAGAGCAAAACAATTAATCATAACGAAACTGTGAAAACATTTGCCTTCAAATAAAAGATAGAAGGAGATCCCCCATGTTTGCTGGATTGCTTATGGTCATCCTCCCACGAGATGCTCAGACCTCTGTCCCAGTTGCTAACAGGGGTGGAGGATGGGAATTTTGATTCTCGGCCCGGCTCATGTCAGGGGCGCTTACCGAGAGGGCGGGCAAATTGCTTTCTTGTTCAGCCACCCAAGTTCCACCATGGCTGGATCTCGGGAGCCACTGACTGTTTCTCCTCTCTTTTTTTATTTTATGGTAAAAAAAAAAAAAACTTTAAAACTTCATAACAAAATAATAGGAGAATTAACAAAATCTAATACATTGTGTATTCTTATCTTCAAAATAGTTACTCAGAGTAGAAGATATGGGCATTAAAAAATTCTCTAAATAATATTAACACAAATCTTTCTTTTCAATGAACCAAGAGAAACTAGTAGTATAATTATCTTTAAATTTTTTTCCTTTTCCTTCCTTTCCTCCTCCCCCACCCTAGTTCCTTTTCCTTTTGAACAGTTTCTTCCCATTTCATAGTATCTGTTGTACATTTTGGTCCTTACCTTCTCTTTCAGGTTCTCACTGAAAGACAGGAAGACAATACGATGTTTACACATGTGAGTCTGATTTATTTTACTTATGGATATGTCCTCAAGTTACATCCACTTACCCATAAATGTCTTGTTTATCTTTCTTTATGGCTGAGTAGTACTGTATTGTATAAAAAGACCACATCTGCTGAAAAAACTGACTTTACCTGTGCTGAAGACTGAAACTAGACCTATGTCCATTATCATACACTAAACTAAAATCAAAATAGATCAAAGATCTAAATATTAAAACAGAAACACTAAATCTGCTAGAAGAGAAACTAGGTAGAAATCTTGAAAATATAGGTGTAGGCACAGATTCTATGAACAAAATCCAGCTCACACAGGAAATACTGCAAAGAATGAGCAAGAGGAATCTCATCTTATTAAAAAGCTTTTGCACAAAAAATCACCAACAGAGTGAAGGACAACCCACCAAGTGGAAAAATTCTGCCAGTTGCCCAACAAAGGACTTATATCTAGAAGGTATAATTTTTTTTTTAAATCAGACCCTCCCATATTCAAAGACCCAACCCAAAAATGGGCATGAATTACCCATTTTGAGATGAATATACACTTCTCAGATGAAGAAATAAAAATGACAAATAAATACATGAAAAATGTTTGACATGACTCATCATCCAAGAGATACAAATTACCACAATGCAGAGTCCATCTCACTCCAGGAAGACTGACTATCATCAAGAAATCAACCAATAATAAATGCTGGTGGGGTTGTGGGGGGAAAGGAACACTTCTCCGCCATTAGTTGAGAGTGTAGGCTGGTGCAACCACTGTGGAAATCAGTGTAAAGATTCCTCAAAAAGCTAGGAGTAGAAGTGCCATTAAACCAGCTATTCCCTTTCTAGGTATTTTCCCAGAAGAATTACAAACTTCATACTACAGTGATATATGTGCACCCATGCTTATAACAGCACAATAGCTAAATCCTGGAAACAACCCAAATGCCCATCAACCAAGAAGGGATTTAAAAAAGTACTTTTTTTTACAAAGGAGTACTCAGCCATAAAGAAAGGTAAACTTGAGACTTTTATAGGTATATGGATCAACTTGAGACCATACTAATAAGTGAAGTAAATAAGACTCGTATGTGTAAACACTGTATTGTCTCCCTCTCTACACTGTGTGAGAAACTGAAAAAGTAAGGTTTTAAATATATATTAAATATTGTGAAATGGAAATAAATTGTTTAAAAGGAAGATGGAATGAGAATGGGGGTAAAAGGAAACAAAGAAGGAAAAAGGGAGAAAAATATGCAATTTAGTTACACTATTAGTCTCTCAGTTCATAGAAAAGGAAAGTTTATGCTAATATCAATTAGCAAATTTTTATGCCCATATCTTATACTCTGATTAACTACTTTAAAGATCATACTATGCAATGTGTCAACTATTGTTTTGCTTCTGTCATCTTGTCACCAAATTTTATTTCACCTTTTCTCCATAAAATAAAAAACTGGTAGAATTGCAATGATGAATAGATAAATCTACAATTATAGTCATATTGTAATACTTCTCTATATATAATTAATAAAGCCAGTAGATATAAAATCAGTAAAAGTATAGAACTTAAACAGTAACAACAAACTGATCCTAATTAACACTCATAGAATACTCCACCTCACAAATAGACATACATTATTTTCAAGTGCAAATGGAATATATACTGAAATAGACCATATTCTGGAAAATAAATGTGCAAAGATATCAATCATCTGACACATCTTTGGTCATAGTTAAAATCAGTCAATATTCTTGTAACTCTTAGTTTTTCCTCTATTAGAGGTGGCAACCAATGAAAAGGAATATAAATGTAAAAAATTACAAAGAATGTATGGATTAATTGTATATGTGGAAATATGTATGATGTAAAGATGTAAGGACAATTCTCTGGAGCTGAATCCTCTGATTATATGTACATGTGCATAAATATTTGATATCAAAATTTAGACTAAAGTTTCTGTTTAGAGTTGAGTCTAAAGTCCAGGCTCCAGTGTAACTTCTCCAGAAGTTTCTCACAGGATTATGAACTGGCTCAGTTATTACTAAAACCGTATTTTGAGTTTCACTGATTAGGGTTTCTCATACATAACTCTGAGGAAACTGCTAGGGTGACTTAAATGTAAGGCAGAAAGATGAGAATGATTTCTGCATTCTTAGGTGTAGATACTTCTGACAAGTATTCTTCCAAACTGGAAACTAGGAGAGACTATGCCTTCCACCTCCAAACAACTGGAAATACTATTGCTAATTAGTTAGAAAGCACAATTTAAAAACACTTATAGGAGACTGCTATTTAATAATGTTTCATTGCTAAATTAAGAATAATAATTATATGTTACGATTTAATGACAAGGCTGTCAACAAAGTTCACCCTGAAGAAATCAAGATCAAAATCATAAAGCAATAGAGAGAAATCAACTAATTAGAAAATAAAACTAGCTAGAACAGATAAGTCCATCCGAAAGCTATTTCTTTGTGAAAACAAAACCTAACTAAAGGAATAAATCACTGCTAAATCTAATTATCAAAAATAAGGCAACACAAATAATTATACTTATCATGAGTTTTAAAGAGATTTAATTACTGATTCAAAGATCCAGAAAACATTAACAAATGCTATAAATGTTGTGTGCCAGTGACTAGGAAACCTCAAGGAAATACAATATTCTTGCTGCTACCAAGACTCTTACTAACCCATTACACTCCACATCTTCACAGCAGTGTTAAAGCAGAAAAATTCTCTTCAAACAAGGCCAGTGGCCAGCACTTCAGGTTTGGCAGGGCTGT